TTATTCATAATCAATCATTATTTGTTGATAAACAATTTATTAAATAACAAGAAACATCCGATAAAAAATAAATAGGATAACTTATTTGGTTACTTGATTTGTTTTTGTTTTTTTCTAAAGAGCAAATGCCCACTGGTCAAACATCAATAACAGTTACTATTGTAGCACATAATGATCTAATTTATGCAGTACAACCTAGTGATCGGTAAGTATCTAGAGATGATTATTTTATTAAACATACCCAAAAATTAAAAATCTATTAGTTTTATGCTTTGTAATTCGTTAGATAGGGCAAAGTGTTTACTCTCAAATACACTCTAGTTTATTGATTCTATAATAAAATTCTATAATGTTACATAAGTTTTTAAACTCTTTCAATCTTCTTTGTTGACTTTGGACAGTGGTAAACATGATTATCATATCTCATTAACTATGATACGTACATACAACACTTCAACATGGAAAAATGCACAATAAAATGAATGTATTGGGTAAACTGAAGATTCACACTTTGTAAGTTTTTTTTTATTTTTGATGGTTTTATTCTTCTTGGATTTCTTCGTTATTTTTAAAACTTGCTTTGATGTCTAAATCAAGATAACAATAAGCTTTAACAATCATGTGTTCTCGGTCTACACCTGATTTTTTTCGTATTTTACCAAATGAGCTTTCAAGGAGAAAAAATAGAAAAGCTGGCCTCTCTTCATTTCTACTGTCATGTCTTTGCTATATGTTAAAATTGACCAGAACTTTATGACATTAAGATTGGCTGACAACTGTGATACGTATGAATAGCTATAGTTTTCACTCAAAATCAAAAGTGAACTCGTCATCAGTTCAATATATCGCGCTAAATTTTTTACTATGTGATATTTAGCACGAGATACTGTCCTGTGAGAATTTTATCTAGACTGAATGATTAAAAAAAAAACGCTTTTTTTAGCAGCTCTCTAGATTCATCTAAAGCTAAAAGTAATTTTCAAGATCATTTTTTGAACTTTTAAGTAGAAACTTACGCTTCAATATAAAGATTCAGATGAAATATCAAACATACAATGGTTGGCAATATTATTGACGTTATTTTTAAAATTTTTCTCTTACTAATTTAAGAATCTAAAGCTATGCTAGTAATGAAATTATAGATTTTTTCCTCTTTTACATTGACATAGTTTTATTCAAAGCAACTAGATGTAATGCAGAATTGGTTACCAACATTTTTTTACCTCTAATTGACGATCATTTTTTTCTAATTTTGTTTACGAGTAAGTAGTATATTTCGAACAGTATCACTTCGAGTTAATCCTAAAACAAGAAATGTTCGATCTGTATATCATACATTTATTGATGTTATTCATTTTTGTCGTCAAAAAACATTTATAACTGAAGGTGAAATTGTAGGACAAGCAACAAGTCATGATAAAGAATCAACGTAAAAATTTTCATTTCTATTTTTCTCTTTCATCATGCTTTTATTTCTTCTCATATAATTTAATTCATGAGAGTATTCAAAAGAACCTTTAGCTCAATTTCATAATTTATTTAAATGCCCTGACATTTATGAATTATTATCAAATGCAATTGGTGTGATTCTTTGAAAGAAATAAAATAATCTAGTTTGGTTTTTTTTGCTTATAGTTACAAGAGTATTTTGGGACATGAACATATAAAAAAAAACACAAGGTTTTTTATTAGAATTATCCGGTAAAACAAACAAAAGATTTTATTAATATTGAACGATAAGATTTTCTGTCTAAAATTAATGTTTTACTTTATACTGATCGTGTTACAACTAAATCATAATAACAACAGTATATCATTCGATTTGGTGCCACGTATTCAATGTACTAATGGTAAAGATATAAATGTTGTGGATCTCACAGCTTCTGTAACAAAAGATTCTCAAACTAATTAAATTGTTATTCAAACATAAGATAAAAATTCTAAGACTTTGACTTTTTTATTTCGTATTTATGTTGCAATTCTACTGATGCATTAGCTTTTGAAAATAATAGTATTTATTGTATTTGGTGAATTTGATAAAATTAGTAAAAATGCTTGATCAATACTTTATGAAGTTATGATGTGTTACAAGTTGTTGTAATTTTGATTTTACTAATAAAATGTATAGAAGAACAAGAAATGTAATCTCAATAACAGTCTGTCATATATTTTATATGAATATTCACACACAAGCGATAAACTGTATTACAGAAAGAGAGAATGATTAAGTAAAGATTTCACATATTGAGAAAATAAGAAGAAAGATAACAAGAAAATAAGAAACACAAAAAATGGTAACAGCTATGACATGAAAAAAAAATATTATAGTAATAATTCGTTCTGTGATTTTTCGACAGAACGAAGACATGAGTCTTTATCATTCTTCATCAATCGTCAAAAGTAGCGTTTGTGAGTTCATGAAAAATGGCATTGAAAGACTGGAAATTTTTGGATTCAATGTCATGAAACTTTTTCAATTTCTTATTCTGTCCATCGTTGTTTGTTGTAAGTCGATCATTGTTTTGTTTTAATAATGCGTTTTCTTGTTTTAATGTTTCATTCTCTTGTTTTAGTGTTGCATTATCTTGTTTTAATGTTGCATTTTCTTTTTGAAGCATTTCTTTATCATTACGTAAATCTTCGTATTTCTTCACTAATTTCTTCATTTGTTCCATAATATTTTGTGGGTGTGGGTGTGGGTATGGGTGGGTGTGGGTGTGGGTGTGGGTGTGGGTGTGGGCGTGGGTGTGGGTGTGGGTATGGGTGTGGGTGTGGGTGTCTATGCAATACAGATCTACACCCACACCCTTAGTACCGTTATTCCCCTTAGTCCACTCTGAAAAAAGGTACTATAGATGTAACATATGTCGACTGAATTCTATGTAACTTATGTATTTATATATAGTAGCCTTTTTTATAAGGAACAGGAGACCAGGAACCAAAGAATTCTTGAATTGTGAATTTAAAGAATTTCTTAGTCCCCTTAGTTCCTCTGCCTTGGTAAAAATGGGATGTTATTTTTTTTTCAAAACTCAATTTGAAATAAAAAAACCCATAGACTCAGTAATCATTCGTTCTGTGATTTTTCGATAGAACGAAGACTTGAGTCTTTAGCATTCTTCATCATTCGTCAAAAGTAGCATTTGTGAGTTCATGAAAAATATCATTTAAAGACTGGAAATTTTTCGATTCAATGTCGTGAAAATTTTTCAATTTCTTATTCTGTTCATCGTTGTTTGTTGTATGTCGATCAGTGTTTTGTTTTAATGTTGCATTATCTTGTTTTAATGTTTCATTTTCTTTTTTAAGCATTTCTTTTTATTTTATTTTTTATTCGAATCGCCGTTGCGTTTTCAAAGACAGGTACCTGCCTTATCATGGGTTGCTCAGACTTTTGTGAAATTCTCGCTTGCATACGACGAGTCGAAAGACTGTTGCCCGGAATGGGTTCTTCGATTGTTGCTTTCGGAGCCATTGTGAAGCACGCCTCGGGTGACTAGTCCTGAGGCGCTTACCAGGGCCCATCTTAGCCGTCGAAAACGACGCTTCCATCCGACACTGCGTGGAAGTGAAGGGTTGGATTTTGTCGGGCAAGCATTTCTTTATCATTACGTAAATCTTCTAATTTCTTCACTAATTTCTTCGTTTGTTCCATAATCTTTTGTATCAATAATGTTGAAGAGACGTTATTGATTGACGACATTTTTATAGATTGATCAACATTAGTATCAGAATTTGTACTCTGAAATGATAAGAGTGTAATTGATTAATTGAAAAGAAAGTAATAAATCGAAAATGAAAATGTTTTAAGATTAGATTCAGAATATGTTAATCTCTAGTAATTATTAATACTTATTATATGAAGAACCATTTTTTTTTACTTGTGAGAAAAGTCTATAAACTCACGTGATATAAAGATTTTTTGTAATGAATCCATATTGTAGCATAGTATAAACTAATTACAGAACGTTTCTAAGTTTCAAATCGATTTCAAGTTGGAACTATTGTTAGCGTCCATGATAAGTCACTTGGACGCTAAACGATGATTAAGATGCACCTTCTAGTCTAATTGGCTTAGGACAACTGCCCGGATAGCAGGAGGTATGGGTTCGATTCCCATCAAGGTCATCTTTTTCATCGTTCTGTCACATAACAGCAGTGACACTGCTTGTCTCTTTCCTTCTATACATATTAGAGCTAACAACTATGTGTATCATATAGGTTTTAATCATCTATGAATACGATGGAAAGAGCTCCGAGTTATAGTTTATTATTGCTGAGATATTATATTTTGAGAATTTCGTTTGTCATTAGAATGCCGTGACCCACTAAGAAAATCTGAGTTTCAAATTTTGACTTGAAACGTTGTATATAAACAGTTATTAATAAAAATAGATCAGTGTAAAAGTTTCAAATCTTTTTATTATTTCTAAGCTTATGTAAAGCTGTAGGAAAAACATGTTTTTTAACTAGCCTATATAGAATAATAAATTCTTATGTTTTTATTTTGGAATAGACACAATGAAAAAAATCTGAAACTTTTTCAATAATCTATTGTCATTAGGAACTGTTATTTCAATGCTAAGTTTGAAATCGAAATTCGAAATTCGAAAATGAGTTTTCTTTTGTTTCTTAGCGATAGTATGATATTGATATTAAAAGCATCCTAAAAATGCTGTGTCATTCCAGGAATTAGCTAACAGAACGAGTTTCTGCCTGGATATTCATAATTCATTAAGATCTACATGATGCATATTGTCTCTATTATAAAGCGATGTGGGACTAAGAAATGTTCGCTCGTATGTATGAAACAATAGATTTTTAGAAGAGAAATATGAGCATACATCATGAACACTACAATTATTGCAAACATCTAGGTTAGGACATTGAACAGATTTTCCTGATAAAATATATATGCAAATAAAAATACTTATATCTTTGTTAACATATCTCCCGAAAAGAGTAACATTTCTAGATTTTTTTTTTCTTCTACACTATCTGACCTGATCAACTATTTACTATTGTATTTTGTTCATGGACAGATTGGTACTTGAATGACACTTATCACACAACACCCTCACACTCATGCAATGTTGTGCGTATAAATTACACTAATCAGTTCAAACTCATATTAAAATGAAAATGTACCCGTTCATGTAAAATAATGTTCATTTACACACTAAATTAAAATGCGTCGTGTTTATGTGTCGTGCACTCCAGCAGAAAAATGTATCGTGCACAGAATGTGTCGCATACGAATTTTTCGCGTTCTGTCTGCTGACTAGTCGTTCACCCTTTTATTATGCATACATGACGATATATAAACAACGTGGTTGAACGTAAGAAAGATGAATTTTCAAAATATTCTTTTTTTTCTAAATTATTTCTCGATAGTCTTTGTCGAGAAAATGCCAATCTCGATTCATCATCGAGAAAGGACTACATTGGAGTCGTCTGATGCAAATTAGATCAACTCGAAGCAGGACAGATCTCAGGATCTAACCTGCTAGAGTTTTCACCATAGAAATAAGTCAATTGAATTATATTGAACAGAAAAAAATTGAAATAATTATACTTTTTGAAAAGAACCAATAGAAAATGTGTCGCATGGGTCGTACAAAATGTGGGGTGTGGGTGTGGGTGTGGGTGCGGGATGTGGAGTGGGTGTGGGTGTAAAAAGAAAAGAAACACATTCACATTCAGTCACCCATACCCACACTCACATCCTTCCACACCCGCACCCATACCCACACCCACGCCCACACCCACACCCCACACCCACACCCACACCACACCCCGCATCCACATCCACACCCACACCCACATCCACACCCACGCCCACATCCATACCCATACTCACACCCTCAAATTCGAAAAATTAAATGAATTACGAAGAAATTTGAACAGTATAGTTTGAAATGGATTAACAGATAATAAAATTTAACTTATATGACAACAATACAAGATGGAAATAAAATTGAAACAGCTAAGAAATCATCATGGGGATCTGTTAGGGAGTCTTAAAGTATAGAATTATTGCTTTTTCTTTAAATAGATAGCTTAATTCAAAAGTCGAACATGTAAAAACGTGTTTAAACTGTTAAATGATTTCCAAATCGTAAAAAGCGCACATTTTAACGCGTTAAAGGATCTAATATCGTAAAAACACTTTCGAAAGTTTTAACGTGTGACGAACGCGTTAGAATGTGCGCTTTTTACGATTTGGAACGCATTCGATTTTCGAACATTTTAACGTGTTTTCTTATTGATTTTTTACTGCCTGGGAAGTATGTTTATAATTTAGTCTGGATTTTTGCTCAGACTTTTTTATTCTTCGAATTCAAAATCATCTTTCATCTTCTTCGAGATATATTACGATAAATGAAATAACACAAATATAATTTGAGGATGGAATGTCTAAGACTCCAATATG